CTTCACCAAAAGTGGATTATGTAACCCTTAGTATCGTACAGCTTGAGGCTGCTATGTCCTTATTCCTCTATGATTGCTATACACTTGGCACGGAAGCCCTAATATGTCAAAGATGTAAGTATATGGGTGTGATATGACAAGATTTCTCAAAAATTAATGCACGAGCTCTTTCTGGGCTGCTTGGACAAACCAGCTGCCACTGAAAGCTCCTCTCTCCCCCAGCGTGGTTGCATCCACGCTCAGCTTCCTGCAGGACCAGAAATTTCCTATCCAAGGGTGACATCCCAAAGACCCCAAAGTCTCCAGGTGCAGGGCGGCTGGTGGCCAATCCAGACTGCCTGGCTGCAAAGTCTTCTGATCAGATCATCACGCCTCTGCCAAGGTTGCTTTCATACTTGCCTTAAAAAAAAGAACAACAAGGAGTCGGGTCTCTCTCCACCTGGACTCAGACCCACAGGGTGCCTAGCACAGGACCTAGGCCCTGGCATGCCTTGGGTGACAGGAAGCACTTCTACCCTCTTCTCTTGCTGATCCCTGCTGTAGAAATTTTCCTGGTAAACCCTATTCCAAAACCCATGCCGTGGGATGCCGTGAAATTCATCTGAGCCCTTGTACAGTAGGTGGCAATCACAAAGTAACTTGCATGACAAAGGGAGTTTAACTGTGGTTTTTCCAATTTAATCTCAGCTTTGTCTTCTTTTTGTCATACTTTCCTAGTTGTCATAAACTTTTCTTCTCTGGTCTTTCCTGAAGCACAGCACAGTGCTATAATAAAAAATAGCCAACATTTTGATTTTTGTAACCTCGTCCTGACCCTCTCCTAACCACCTCTGTGGGGTTTCCACGAAGCCTCCCAGGGATGTTAACAGAGGATGAAATTCCTGTTAGTGTGTCTGTGAGTAGCTGTATTCTGGAGGCTGTGTCAGGTCAATGAGGCACAAGAACTTCAATTGTGAAAGGAATGTTTTATTTATGAAGAGCCCACATGTCCAAAGCGCTGTTTCGCTTTCCACAGAAATGCCCTGTAGTTTCCGGCCTGAGCCTGCCACAGCCCAGGCTCTGCAAACCCACCTTGCTGAGGTTTCCTGCGGGAGAGCAGAAGGAGGCAGCAGCATTCCTCCCCCGGGAGAGACAGGGATCAGGAGAAAGAGCTCATGATCCTGTCAGAATTGTTCTTTGTGTGTCAAAGGGAAAAAATTCTGACCCCAAATGCGGGAAGTCCTGAGGCACAGCATGGCAGCATTTGCATTCACTTTTTCTGAGCAAGAAGTATTTATCAACATATCTATTATCACTTGGGGGTAGGGTGTGTGTGTGCACATGTGTATATATGTTTATAATTCACCAGTCCCTGGGACAGTCGAGAAGAATTCCAATGAGGTGGACAGCTTAATGACTAAAGGTCTGGGCTTAAGGCCTTGGGTTCAGGGTCTAGCTATGCCATTTACTTCTCTCTCCTGAGACCCTTGGCAATGTATTCGATTCTCTAAGCCTATTTGTCTAGAAAAATAAGCAAGCAAACAAACAAAAACCCATTCGACTTTGAGCGTTATTAAGGAGATGAAATAATGCAAGGTAAAGACTAGCATAGTCCTGATATATATTAATAGCATAAGAAGTCACTAAATATTAGCTCTTGGAATCTATACCAGAATCTCTTTCAGCTTCTAGGACTTGCTGTTATACTTGGTTGTGCTTTTCTGTCATTTTGTCTCTAGATTAGAGCAGTTACTTCGGTTGAGCTCCCTGAAGAATTAGAGGCATTGATTTGTCACAGTGGCTCAATGACTATAGGCCTAGCCGACACTTTCCTTTTGTTTATTTATTTATTGTTAATTTTTATTTTTTTTAAGAGACAGGGTCTCCCGTCATCACCCAGGCTGGAATGCAGTGGCTCAATCACAGCTCACTTGAACTCCTGGGCTCAAGCGATCCTCCTGCTTCAGCTTCCCAAGTGGCTGGGATTGCAGTCTTGAGACACCACGCCTGGCCACTTTCCTTTTTGTCTATCCCTTGCCTCTTCTCTCCATCATCTCCCATCCCATTTCCCCAACCTCCACCAACTCTGGTCTCCTCCTCACTCCCATTCGATTTGCATCTGGCCCTATAGGTTTATGGATCAAGATAATTTGTGGCCATGAGTTTGACTGCCAGGTTTTATTTTCCCATCACCAATTTAGGCCCAGTCTGTGCAGCTGGCTTCTCAGCTCAAACCAAGCCTGTGTGTGTGTGGCGGGGGGGTCTGTAAGATTTTGGGTGGTATCCTGGATATCAAAATATCTGTGTCCCTATGATGTACTTCTGCCAGAGGTTAGAAAGTGAAGAAATTGGGTTGTATTTGCCTAATTAAGTTGTGGGTGGACAATCCCTATACTTAACGTCTGTCTCTTGGTCCCTCTTGGTCACTTAACTTCTTGGTTTCCTCAACTGTCTCAGTTTGCCTGGTTTGGAAGATATATTGTAAGGTCAACCTGTCTCTTGGGATTGGTATATATTTAAGCCTCTTTTCAAATATAGAAAAGATGGTGGGGTCTCAGGCAAAATTTTTTTCAGTATAAACTTTTTTCAATAATAAGAACTGTGAGAAGGAAAGTCAGATTGAAATCTCCAGTTTCAGAAATGGTGCTTCAAAGGGTTTTCTTTCTGTAGTGCAAACTGGAATGTATTTGTATCATAGCAAGTAGTGTTTTGGAAACCTTGGAAGAAGCTTGCTACACAATTTACATTTTATGTGGTCGACCCTTGTTCAATGGAATAAGTATAAGCAAGCTAAAAATACTCCAAGGAAACACATACACACACACATACGCACGCACATCACACGTTTTTGATGCTGTTGAAACCCTCTCCTCTTCTTTTTCTCACCTTACTTTGTGTTGCTGGGCAGCATGCATCTTCTACAAAGTGGTGTGAATGAGAAATCTAATAATACTCAGAACTAGAAGGAGCTGTCAGAGCTTGTTCATCCTAAAATTGTGCAGCCATGTTAACATACAACAGAAAGGAAGCATTCAAGGAGCTGGGGCGGGGGACTTTTAGCTTTGTTAACATCAACCATCTCTACCCGCACAGAAGAGACGTGAGCTGGTGTAAGTGCCACATGCTATCAAGTCATGTCAGTGACATGGGACCACAGCAGATAGAAAGAGACAATGAACACATGTGGCTGGCAAAGGCTGTACTGCATATGAAATCATGCCTTCATTACAGCAGCAACGGTGGAAATTCAGGGCTCCCAAGACGGGCCATTTACTAGGTTCACAAGTTGTCACTTACTCAGGAGGAATATATATTCTTGTCATTATGCATTGTATACATTATGTGTTAACCATACCCCTTCTTTCCCCCATTCTAAGAAAGAGCACAGGGCTGTAATAGAAGCATTGCAAAATGCCACCTGGTACACGGGCAGAAAGGCAAAGGATAGTGCAATCCCCAGAGGGGTTAAACCAGGCAAGGAAACAATGGGCAGCCAGTGTTTCTGCTTTATTGGCTGTCTAGCAGTAGCCAAACCAGCCTTCATAGGAAGTTACGAGACAAAGTTGGATCTTGTTCCTTCATTAAAGCACCATTAGGTCTCAAGATTAAAGAAATCTCTCAGACATAACACATTCTAACCCACACCTGGGAATTCTGAATGGTGGCATGATTTATAGTCAGCTCCGGGTTGCATGCCTTTGACATTCCACCCACTCACGTATTTGCATATTCAGAAGCTATATGAGCACAAAAATATTAAAATGAAATCCACTATATGTTACAGTAGAATGACATGTAATTTATTCATATAACCGACAATTAGGCAGTACTCAAAATTCATTTAAATAAGCAAGTGATTACACAAACATCTAATAATACTAAAATTGATAGTCAGAAGGTATAAAATACCATGGGTATGAAATGCCATGGTAAATACTATTCAACAGACTACAATCATAATTCCAAACTAAATCACGATTTTTAAAATAATTTTTAGCAGTTTTGGAATGATTTGACTTTTCCCCTTCCAAGTAATTTACTTCTTTCAGTGATACAAGACAAGGTCATTATTTTCAAGAAATATTGCAGAGTGACATAGCTTAGGTCACTCTCTTGCCACACGTTTTCTTGCAAATTGTTTTTTAATATTGCTCCTTGACATAGAAAACGAACCAGTCAGCACTTAGTTCCCCAAGCAAAGGTGCTTGGATCAGAACAGTGCCAGGGTGTAACTCTGAGTTCAGCAAGAGGCAGGCAGTGAAAACCTTTTGCAGCTTTTTAAATATGTTTACTTCTTTTCTGAGGCTCCACGCATCATAAACATATTGAGGCATCCAAGCCCGTGAAATTATGGGAATAAGCTAATTTGATATCCAGATGACTATGACACAATTGCAATTGGGGGCGGGGGGAGTTACAATATAATTCTGCAGTGCTTCAAACAAAAACATCTCCTACCTAAGGTGACTTCTCATAAGCCTTGTTACATTTGCATGAAGCGCAGCTATGTTTGCAGGAACAGTTTGGCTTATCATGAGTCTGTCTGTATTATTTTAAAGTCTTATACTTTATCAGAATGAGGTCCAAGCATGAACTTGGCTTGAAAAGCTAGCAGCAGTAGTCATGAAACATATCAATAAATTAAAAGGTTTTCACAGAACAAGATTCAGCTAAACCTCTTACATACAAAATACAGCTAGAGAAATACAATTCTTTAACGCTGAATTATGAGGGGGAGGAAAAAAAATCTAAAAAAATAGAAAACTCTCTCCATACCTGGGTATCAAGGCAAGATGTAACACTGCATAATGCCACAATATGAGCAGTCACTGGATGAAAGATACTCCAGAAATAGTAGTATCTGGGGATCTTGGAATTATGACCAAGAGATGAAAATACTGTACCAAAAGGCATGCATACAATTGCTGTGTGCATTCAGTGTGTGAGCTGTGACCTAAGCAGAGATCTAACAAGACAATGAGGCAGTGTTCCAGGGTATCCATTAAAACCAGCGTGGGTGACTACATGTTGATTAAACCTTCCGAGGCAGCAAAATGTGGGCACAGCGCCATGTCTGGGTTCTGCAGCTGTTTGATGATTCTCTTGCGGAATTTCTCCCGCACACGATTAAATTCCATTATGTCCATGGGATCCTCTTCAATCCAAAACTTATGAAATTCGTGCATCAAATAGCCTGTTAGAGATAATACAATGAAAAGAATGCAGAGGAAAAAAGTCCTCCAACCATATTCAAAATCATCCTGAATGCTGAAGGAGATGTTGGACCAAACAACATCAACCATAGAGCTTAAAGAAGACATCAAAATATAGCAAATACCACTGTTTATTCTTTAAAACCAGTGCAGCAGAATCTGCAAGCTTTTTACAGTTGGTCCTGGAATTATTCTCTTCTCGGTCAGGAAGACAAATCAATTCTGTTATTTCTTGAATATGAATCATATCGGCAACACACTCCGAAAGTCTGACAGTGACTACTTCATCCTTCCTCTCCTAATTAAATTAACATAACAGTCCAATTTTTCAAAATTATTCCACTCAGCCTTTTTTTCCCCTCGATATTCAGTTTAACTAAAGTTTTAAATTACCCTGACAAATCAAACAAACGCATTCTGACAATCTATTATGAGATGATAAAAACTGTGAATCAACTCTGAACAACAAAGACTGGTCATTAAACTACATGAAACTATTAATAAGACTTCCTTGCTTGGAAGCATAATTTCATATTGAAGTACTTTTGTGTCTCAAATACGTTGTCTATGAATGATCTGGATTGGAAGAATTGGGGGTGATAAATGTTAACTATCCGATACAAGAACCTACACATTGTGTTCTGTTCCCCACTGTGCCCCTCCCTCCACCATATTTGTTTCTTTGCTTTTATCCACCACATTTAGAACTGAAATGTGAATTCAATTAACATTTGATATTTGTATGTAATAAACTCATTGCAAGCTCAGGTGTAGCTATATGTTAAAAAGAAAAGTATTTAAGGAAATAATCCTAATTTAAAAAAAAAAGAAAAACAAGCATTATACAAGCTTGTCTTTGTCTTAGTGTTAGAAGGCAGTAGAAAATAGGAGCCAGAAACCCGGTTTGAATCCTTGCCGTCCCACCTCATGTATAAATGGAAAAGGGGAAGGAGTGAGCAGTGGGCACGACTGGGGTGGGGCGGGATGGGAACAAACAACATGGAACAAACATGCTCAATTCTAACAGGTAAAAAAAAAATCAGTAGCTTTTGTTTTCTGGTAACTAGCTTTGTCCAGGAAACTCTCAACATAGTTCCATAAAGCAGCAGTCCCCAACCTTTTTGGCACCAGGGACCGTTTTCACAGAAGACAATTTTTCCACAGACTGGGGATTGGGGGATGGTTTCAGGATGATTCAAGTGCATTACATTTATTGTGCACTTTTTTTCTATTATTGTTACATTGTAATATATAATGAAATAATTATACAACTCACCATAGGTTGGGGTCACCTGCCCTAAAGTGATTTTAAAATATCTTTACTCATGTTTCACTATAATACAAAATTAGAAGTGACCTTCACTGCCCCCAGCATACGCTGCCAGTTGTAGATCACTTCCACAGACTCACCCCTCTGATGACTCATCTCATTATATCGCTAAGTATGCTTGTACATCTTTAAGCATGTGGTTTCTCTATAAACACAGGAGGAGGAGAGGAGAGGGAATTTCTTTATTTTACATTTCTTTTGGGTTGACTGTTCCATTTCTTTTAAGACTAGCCTGTCTTTGGGCCCTCCACACACAATAACTGACATAACTGCTTTTAACACTTCCTACAGGGGCACACATCAACCACTGCCCAACTGGCCTCTGGGTTACACAAGCCAGGGCCCACTACCACTGTCCTGGGGACCTGGCCACACCAGAAGAGCCTCAAATCAGAGGTATCAGCCACCCTACCCTCCATCCCATCTGTCTCTGTTCATCTGATGTTTGGATTCCTCGAGGTGGCCTCCAGGCTTGAACTCTGATGACAACACTGACTGTTCCATGGATGAGAAACTTGATTCTTAAAAGGTTCTTCCGCCCCCTGGGCCAAAATCTGTTGCCCTCTATTTCATAGAACAAATTCAACCCTTCTCCAACTCAAGTATTTGAAGTGTGCTTTATGCCCTCAGCATGCCTCTTTTCCAGGTTAAGCATCTCTTTTTCTTCTTACCATTCCTCACATGCCATGATTTGGAGTCTGCTTGTCATCTGGTTGTTCTAATGCACATCAACTGAAACATGTTTCCTCTGATCTCAGTGTTTTATTCAACAAAAAGAATTCAACCATCTGTCCATTTCAGTGACTGGGAAAACTCCTAAAATACCCCAGGAATGGTCTGGGGCACTTGTAAAAAATACAGATCCTTCCAGATTTAACCAGACTTGGAAATCAGTAAGATGAATCTCATGTCACTAAAGTTGAGAACCTCTGGACTAGAATACATTCTCTTTTTTAGTAAATTCCCTTAGCTTCCTTCTAAATATTACAATTTTATGGTTCTCAAAGAAATCTATGATAATTTATAATTTTCTTCTTACTATATAAAATACACACATAATTTTCCTGACTGCTCTCTAAGCTCAAATAAACACACCTGAGCTATTTTGTATGTAAAGTCAGGTTTCCAACAGTATAAATTAAAATCATTCATGATGTATCTCAGTAGTAGTTCATGAGTGACAGCATCTTTACTCTTACTGACAATGATAAGCAGCCACTATGAAAAAAATCACCACTTAATGAAGAATTCACTTTTCTACATGTACATAAAAACGTTCACTTTTCTATAATGGGTAGGTGTATTGGCAACTCACTGTAAGGGTGCTGTATTGTGACAAAGAGTTATAGAGGAATGCAGATCCATTTGATTTCCCCATGTTTCTACCTTACGTGCAATTATGGAAAAACATCTTGAAAGGTTTGAAGGGCTAGGGTAAAGATAGAGGTGGGGGTGGCTCATAATCTCAGGATCCTTCCTCTAAAGCTTGCAGACTGATTCCCTGGGACTCTCTTTCTCTAGCCCATCAGGAAAATAATTAGAGACTATATAACACGATCTTAATCAAAATGCAGAAATGGTGGCCTGGCTCCCAAGGTAGATATTATAATATAATCATAAAACTCCATTCATTTATATAAATTACAAAGTCTTCAAAAATTCATTTGGTCAGTTGGTCACTGACCCATCTGCCAATTAACAAATATGTAACAGACACAGTAGTAGGTACTGAGGATGAGGAAAAGGTAGAGTTCCCAGGCTACTTGATTCTCAGTCTCTTGGAGAGAGGCAGACGGGTATATGATTTCAGCTGATGATTTGTTAGCTAAGAAAGCTAACAAAGTGGCATGGAAAGGAGAGGGAGAAAACAGAGGCCAGGCTATTGCTTACAGTATCTCATTTAATTCTTATAACAGCTTTGTGGAGTAAGTGATACAGATGTTCTATTTCCATTTTGCAGACAAGGACATGGGACTTAGACAAGATACTTGAATGGCATACAATTACAGTTGCAGCTGGAAAATGGAAGCCAGGCCCTAAAATCAGCTGACTTTCTACCACTGTAACAGGCTGCCTTTTCCAGTACATTCTGTTCCTCTAGTTCTTATTCCTACTGAATATTTCCTTTATTTGGAGGTCAGAGAAAAAATAATTCCTTTTCCTCTTCTAGCCACTGTACTTTCCTTCTGCTCGTTATACCTAGTCCACTTCAGTGGGACTGTGTGTTGTTCAGCGGAGCTTTAGATTGAATGCAATTTTTTTAACATACTGCCTTGGCAGTATTCAGTGGTCACTGAATAATACTGTGAAGTCAGAAGGATGGAGCTATTATATTCTTATATTCTTCAACCTAGATGAAATACTTGTTTTGAATACTAATTTGGATTTCCAACTCAAGCCTGCAGCATATTTGTTGCTGCTTGAATGTATCTCGGTTTTGCTTCACTGCATTTGGTTAGTAGAGAGCAGAGACATGTGCAAGGACATAGGTAATTGCAAGAATATTACAGAGGACACGTGCAGAATTGATCACGTCCGATGGAGGAACAATGAATCTAGGGCACCGTTTGCTTCCACTAGAGAGCGCTGAGTCCCTCTGCCTACCCCTCCTTCCCCCATCCCAGTCCATAGGGGGATTGTTGCTGCTTCCAAAACCTGGTGAGGGCATTGGGAAATAAGTAATCTGCTTGTTCATCTGGGTTAGGATTCTCTTGGAAGCATATCAATCCAGGCCAAGGCTAAAGTTTTCCAGAGAGTCTAGACTCCCCTTCCCCCTGCAAAGAATATCGTCCAATATTTCAGCTTCCCATCCATCCATCCATCCCTGCCTCCCTCCAACAAATAGTTACTGAGCACCTGCTCTCTACCAGGCTCTGTGCTGAGGATACTACAGTGAACAAAACAAATGTTCCTACCCTTAAATACCAATTCCTTATGATTCTAACTCTGTTTCTTTCCTGGGCGATCTCCCCCACCACGTGGCTCTGATATTCTCTTTGGTGCTGATGAATCCCAAATCTGCAGCACAAGCCCTTCTAACTCTTAGAGCCCCAGAGCCTCACATTAGAATGCCCACTCTGCAGCTCCATATGGATTTCCCAAGAAGAACTTACCCTCAATATGCCCAAAGCTAAACTCATCCTATTCCACCCGAAACCGCTTCCCCGATTTCCCTAAGAGCATGGTAAATACAGAATAGAGTAAGTATAAGGGGCTAGGGAAACACAGCAAGAGGTTTTATTTATCTACATGTTTATGCTTTTGAGATGGTTTGCAAAGCTCTTCTGGATCTGCCTCCAGCCCCCGCTCTTACATTTCTAAGATCATCTCTTGTCACTCTCCTTTCAAATCCTACAGTCTATTCCTTCAATCCACATATTCTTTTGCTTGATGGCCTTTGCTGGACCACTCAGCCACCATTGCTTTATTTTCTGCCACTCATCCTTCAGGTCCCGTCAAAAGTGGCATTTGCTTTGGGGAGCTTTCCCTGACTCCCAGACTGAGCGAGCTGTGCCAGCTGTAGGCCTTTTCGATTTTTAAAAACAATATCTTTACTTCCTCAATCACAAAATTCTTCCTACTACATTTCAATTATTTGTTTAGGTGCCTGTCTTCCTTGGGCCAGAATCCAATCTGTAGTAAAATCTCAATAATATTGTTGGAGATGGTCAAAATTGTTACAGGAGTGAGTATGATCATTCAATTGTTGAAGTAGGAGCTGCAATTAATGTATTTAAGGGACTTACATTTTCCATTAACAAGTATAAAGTATATGTGTTTTAAAATTTCCTTCTCATTTTTACCTAAGTTATATATACATGCAGTTCAAATAGTTTAATAAGTCTTGCTAGAAAAACAAAAAACCAAACCACACCAAACCAAACCAAACAAAAAATAGCAGTATATCCTGCCCTAATTCCTGGTTCCCTAAAGCAACATTTCAACACTTTCAGCTGATTATTTTGATTTATAACTCTAAATAACATGCTTTCCATTGCTTGATTTTTGTTTTACTTCCATTTATAAATCTTTATTGAAGATTTAGCTTCCTTTCACCCACCCCAGCCACATGGTCACTTACTTTCTCACACTTTTCTTTACCTAGTATTAATAACAGCCTTCATTGTTTATTTGCTCAGTTTTCTACTTAATTTAACCCTAAACTATCCCCTAAGTATGCCAATGTCCTCTCAATGTGTTCAAACATGGCAGATATTCTATCAATTTCATTTTCTTCAAAGAGTCTCTCCCAGAGCCTTCTGACTTTCTAAAATCTAGATTTATTATTTCCAGCCTATTGAATAGATATCATCTTGAAGAGATGATCCTGAAGATTCCCTTCACTATTCTCCTGGAATAGATTTCCTGTTTTCTGGATCCCATTTATCCCTTTAGAATTACTCTCTTATTTTGTGGAAACATACCCTTCAGGAGCTTTCTGATAAATGTACAGGGAAGTAAAAGGTTTAAGACTTTGCATCTGAAAAAATGTCTTTATTCTATTCCCAAAATTAATTGGTAAGTTAGAATTCTAAACTAGAAATCATATTCTCTTAGTTTAAAAAATATTCTCTTAATTTTTGAAGACATTATTCCACTGTCTTCCAGAAAACAATGTTGCTATTGAGAAGTCCAATGTCATCTTCATTCCCAAATCCTTATGTGACAGCTTTGGAAATTTTCAGGATCATCTCTTTCCAGTGTCATAAAATTTCATAATGATATTGATGTTGGGGTGGGTCTATATTAATCTATTATTTTGGTGCCCGACTACTTTAAATATAAAAACTCATCCTTCAGTTCTGAAAATTTTTCTTGATTTATTTCTTTGATTCCCTCTCCTTAGTTTTCACTGTTCTTTTTCTGGCACTTCTATTTTTTAGACATAAGACTTTCTAGAAGGGTCCTTTAATTTTTCAACCTTTTTATTTTCTATTTTTCTTCTAAGCCTTTTTGTTCTACTTTCTGGGAGAGTTTTTCAACTTTATCTTCCAATCCCTTCTTGGAGATTTCATTTCTGCTAAAACATAGATCTGGGAGTCGACTCAGGCTGTCTTCAGAACCTGCACTCTTGAGAGCTATGCATGAGAACAGAGGAAGAAAAACACCCATGATGTCAGACCTGATGTTGATACATTGGATATTATGCATGAGCCAGGAAAGAGAAAAATCCACCATGCCTGAAAATATAAATGTAGGTTTTTGAATAAGAAAACAAAATTAAAACCAAAGGAGGACATTCAAGGCCCCCAAAGCAGCCAAATCAAAAAGTTCTCACAGCTTCGAGCCTTGTGTGGAGTGTTCTATAGAAACTGGTATCGATAATTAAACAATAGGACACTTACAGAATGTTTGTTGGAAGTGAGACAACGTTGGAGCTTCTGGGGCAATGTTGTAGAAATGGGTTTTTAGAGCTCCGCTAACCAGTAGATTATATGCCAGGTCGGTAATATTGATGCCCACGATTGCAAATGAGTACCTGTAAGGTGTAAACCATAAAACCAACCATGTGTCACATGTGGGAAATAAGCATTTAAAAAAATGCTAATCTGATTTTTAAATTACTATTAAATTATCAGAGTGGCAGGTTGTTGGTCTTCCCTGTCTCTACCCTATCAAAATCTTGACTTTTGTCATTTACTAGAAAATTTCAATGATGTGTTATAAAGAGAATTGAAAGTTCATATGCTTTGACTTGGTAATTCCATTTCCAAACATATGATAGAAAAAAATCCAAAGTGGACCAAGTTTTGTAGACAAGGATATTCATCACTGCATTATTTATAATGGCAATAACATAGAAACTATACAAATATCCTAAAAAAGATGACTAATGAAATAAATTGGGCTAATCTCATATAACATATTATAACTGATTAAAACTATATTTTTAAAGAGTAAGCAGGATAGAAAACATTATGGATAGAACAAGCTGAGTTTTATTAAATATACACAGATGTGCATGGAAAAAAGGCCAGCATAAATGATACAAAATATGAATATGAGTATGCTAGAGTAATAAGATTGAGTAATTTTTTGGATTACTTTCCCATATTTTCTAAATTCTCTATAATAAATTATTACTTTTAAGATGAGAAAAAATTTAAATAAGTATCTTAATACAGTGTATATTTTTTAGGTCCTTTTCTACATGTCTACTAAAAATGAAAGAAAACTGAGTTCTTAAATTCTCTTTGCTAATATAAATCCAGCACAGAAAAAAAATTTTCTGTTCACAAATATTTTTGGATGAAATGGGGTATTGTAAAAAAAAATTCTATAGTAAATTTTTATCCAGTAGCCCAATACTTGATAGAAATCCTTAAAAGGAAACTACCAAATACAATTCTAAATGATTTCTGAAAATCATTTCCATACAATTATAACTTTCTACCCTGTCAGCTGGTCGTGGGCAAAGTAATATCACATAATCGAACAGATAAATCCAAAAACATATAAAAGAATACTTTTAAAAATTCAACTGGATTATATAGTCCCATCAGGACAAGTGGAATTTCATCCTTTTTGTCCTTCACAGTGCTCTTAGGACATTTTTGCTCTGGTCTGGGTCAGATTGACAATCTTTACATATGAGATCCCATACTCACCCAATTGCTTTATCCATCCTTTTCTTTTCCCATTCTGCTTTGCTGAATTTGCTGAATAGATGAATGAATGAATAAGTAAATAAATAAGATTTAATCTCTAATTGGTACTTTTCTCGTTTAATGCTTATGTTAAAACTGTTAACTATATGCAAAGACGTCTGTAACTCAGTTATCCAACACTAATCAACTTAAATGCTATTGACTTTAAAAGCCACAATATAATTTATATGGAGCTCAGAAATGGAATTATTTAAGGCCATGCTATTTACCCACTATTCACCTTTGTACAGCTGTGGAAGACAGCCCTAAAGGCCAAACATTAAGATACTCTTTTACGCTACCATGAATTATCAAACATGTCCTCCATGAAACCTTACCTGGCATCTCTCTCTCCTCTAACTAAATGTTATCTCACCATCTCGTGAGTCCCCACTGCATTTTGTTTGATTTTATCTCATAGCATTTATCCTACTCAGCCTTTTTTGTGATATCTGGTACACAGCAGATGCCAAATAAATAATGGAGTCAGTAAAAGAAAGAAAAGAAAGGAAGCAAGGGGGGAGGAACAGAAGGAAAGAGGGAAGTACAGAAGGAAAGGAGAGAGGGAGAGAAAGAGGATGGGAGGGTGAGAGGAAGGAAGGGTTTATAGGTTTTAAAAATTATGTTCCAGTAAGTACTATGGTATTTCTTTGGGCTAAGTTGACTCAGCTAAGCCATAGCAGCTACACTTTAATCTGTTTTATAATTTGAGCTTCTGAATAAGAATGAAGAAAATGTTCTATCATGGGAGCATTCTGGAAATACTGCCTCACATCCTATTTGGTGTACTCGCGCATCTGCCCCATTCCCCTCCATACTGCCAATATCTTGCAGGCAGGAACCATGTTCCACTCTTCTTTGTGTCTGATATAACTTTCATTCAGTGTTTTAACCCTAAAAACTTGTTGTTAACATTTGAATTAAATACAATTTAAAACTAGAGTTAAAATGCACACTTAGTTACCACCTAAGTAGGAGAAAGGAGAGTTCTCTAAAATACACAGCAAACGCTACAAAACACGCACATAGTACATACAACACACAACCACAAAAACATCATGCAAAATTGATATTTAGCTATGTGTACTTTCTGCTCTGTAAATGACTGGATATAACTCAAAGTAATTTCTTTTAATTCATGTTAAAATATGCCACTTGTTTTAAAGTGTAACTTCTAGACAAAAACCAAACAGCCAAAGAGCCATCAGGAGATTTTTACCTTAAAAGACTCACAGCCAAACTAAAACGAGTGATGTGTGAAATTTAAGAAATTTTATATATAAGAATATATATGCATCTATTTTCTCTTCAACAAAGCTTTATCAATACATAGTGTCTCTATATTTGTTAAATTAAATCTCTATCTGCATCAGAGATATAAGAAGGGTCAAATGACCTCCACTCATTTGATTACTTCTAAGAGATCCTGGCCCCAACCGATTGGCTCTCTCTCTTCAGGAAGAAATAAACAAACGCAAAAATCAACAGTCAAAATTTCTCCTCTTACACTTGAATCTACTTTTATCCCTCGAGTTACTCTGTGGCTTGAGAGACGGTTATTTCCGAGAGCAGTAATGTATCATGCTTGTTGAAGGACATTACATGAAAGAGCTTTCCTTAGCATGTCTCCTGATTGAACACCTGAAATATTCAGGGCCGTACAGGGCCTACGTTGACATCGTAATTGATCAATATATACTTCTTTCGGACACTGGTGAAGAAGGACTAGAATTTTCAAAACACTCTGATTTGTATCCAGTGACATTTACCATCAATTTGAAGTAATCAATATATGAACTGTATTCAATTTTATTGTAGCCTCAGGGATAAAGCATGGTAATTTTATCTACATAACTATACACACATGCACACACACACACACACACACGAATTCTAATCTCTTCTTAAATGAGAATAGTTGCATAAACCCTCAATCCCTCCTCTCTCTCATGTCTGACACAGGAGATACAACTATAAGGTCTTTCTTTGAGAATGACTCGTAGACAAAATTAATTCCCCTCCAATGGTTAATCAAAAATATTTTAAACTTATTGTCACTTTCCAAGGACCATGGAGGCTTCATGTCTTCTGGCTGACATTCCTTTAGGAAATGCCACCTGACAGCCCACACAGACTACCCAGCCAATTTTAATTAGAGGGAGTTCAGAGTCTCTGTATTACAGAAATATGCAATTCGGAAGATGTAGTTAAAAAAATTAAAATAGCTTGATTTTAACCATGTAATATATCAAGAAAGACATAAGCGATTTTAGTGTTTTTCTTAAAGTAAATAAAAGAAAATGAGATTTTAATCTTATACAAGATTATAAATGTAAATATGACTTAATGAAACTTAAAAAAACTCAAGTCAACCTATTCCTGAATTTTGAGAATATTATGATAACATTTTGAATGCATTTAGCAAATATCAATATACTAACAACTAACCTACCATCATACTGAGGATAAAAAAGTGATATGCAACTATGATTGCAAAATAGTGGAACTCATAAGAATAGTGACTAATACACACCCATACTAACTACTACTTATAATAATCAAACCAGAAATATATTAATAGAAGAACAAATTTGCTCTGGGCAACAAAATTTCCAAATAAAGTACTCCTCTCTGGGGGTAGATGGAATCAGAGCATGCATGGTGAGATGTTCCGCCTTTAGGTGAGTCTTCAAAATGTTTCTCCGGCCAGATTCAATCACGGTTATAGAAAGGCTCTTGGACATTTTCTACCAGACTAGGCTAATCTGGTTTTCACTAAAACACAGCCCAAATATAATTACCTATAATAGATAAAAAGTTGAGAAATGTTTGCTTTTTGAAAATTTTTCATAAATGTATATTTCTTTTAAAAATTCTTACCCATATTTATTCTAAAATAAAAGCAATAAAACACAAAAGCAAAGAAAAAATACCTTATTTCCTCTTTAGTGATATCCCTTTATGTTATCAGTTAAAGAAAAAAATGTAGAAAGGTAAATGAAAATGCAAATAATTTAGAATCTAGAATTTTACTTAAAAAAAAAGCCTCAGCAATTCCAGATTTTCTCAGTTGGTTCCTGACTTCAGGCCTTCCATTCTCCCTCCTATTACCCCACCCTGCCCCCTTGTCTCTGCACTGTTTCTCCCAGACCCTGCCCTTGGCCATGCCCACCTCCTCTATCTTCCTAAACACTAGTGACATTTTCAGTCCCTTTAAATACATAGCACACATGAACGGTGCCACTCTGCATCCTAAATCCTACTGTAAGTACCTGAAGTTTTAACCCTCCTCTTCAGCATCTGTCACAAGGGCTTGTCTAAAAGAGATTTAAATCTCACTTTTGGTGAGTCGACTTTCTGGAGAATCTCAACAGATCTATCAGAAGATTAAGTTAATTTTACCTATTCTGTAAAGCCTAATCTATCTTTTATTTTCAACCATTACCTGCATTTTGGATGAAGAGAGTCAGAGAGGACCTGCTGAGCTGCTGTAGCATCCCTTTCCGCAAAATACCTGCAGTCGGAGGGAAAGAAAATCATACCTGCTGAATATATTCATTTTAACCCAATTTGAGGCCACTTTAGATTCAGAGATGGATACCAGCAGAAGATTATCACTTGTTCCAGCTCTTTCAGAGAACTATTTTTCGTAATAGAATTTTCCAAATATAACAACATGGTAGGGTAGTTGTGAAAGTCACATAGATTGAGAAATATATCCAGTAGATTTGAAAAGTAATTATAAGCTTTACCATTCCCCAGAGAGCCAAGGACTTTATCATTAAGAAGAGTTACAGGTGAGCGGGAAGGGGAGCTCAGCATTGAGGGCCCTCGGCAGGCAGGAGCCTGGATGACCTGATGTGGTGGGGCCATGGCAGCCAAAGGGCAAAGAGGGGAGAGACTGAGGAGATGAGAGAGGATGTTTTCCAAATCCATTCTTCTTGGAGAATATTCACTGGGTATTTGAACTCTGGATGAATGAAAATATCTAATGGAACTTAGATATGTTAAAAAACATTCTATTCTGGGGGAAAGAGGTAGTGAAATTTTCTAGTAATTACAAAAAGCTGCATACCCTCAAAAATAATTCATAAAAAGTGCTTCATAGACACGATTATAAAACTATAGCATATATTATTTAATTTGATGTGTACATATTTCCTGCAAAAGTCTAAAGGGTAAAACAAGCTCTTGAATTTCCTCTCAGAAAATGTCAAACCAAAGTCAGCAATTTTAATGCTCATGTCCACAATGGTTAATGAAACTGAGTCTCTTTTCATACTTTTGTTGGTCATCTGGGTTTCTTCTTTTATGTCTCCTCTGTTCATATTTCTTGGTTAAGTATATCTAAAAATGTCCTCAAATAAAGACAAATGACCTTATAGAGAACAACATACTGAATGTAGATCCTTTATCATTTATGTGACTGTCAGTCTTGTCTCGTTTCACTTTGTTTATGGTGGCTTATCTTACACAAGTTTTCAGTTTTAATGTGAGAAATTTATTGATTCTTCTGTTTCAGTTGACGCTTTTTCTGTTTGTATCTTTAAGAGATCCCTTCTTACTCTGATATCTTAAAGATTTTCTTCTAAAAGTTGGAAAGTTTTTGACTTTCAACTTGTGAACTGAGATGAAGGAGAGATTTAATTTTTTTTTTTCTAAATGGGAGGCCAATTTTCCCAGTTCCAGTTATTTAAAACAGTGGCATTTACCCACTTATTTTAACACCATCTTTGTCATTAAGATTCACTTTCTATTCATTCACATTACAAGATAATGTAGCACTTAAAACATTCTGTTAAAGAATGGGTAACGATTAAACTTCTTACATTTAAAATAAAGGGAAGATGGGGGTGGGGAATTGGGTGTCACCAAAAATAACTGAGTAACCTTCACTAATAGGGTAGTGTCAAAGGACATAGCTGGGCGGGATTCCTTTTGGCTCAAAAAATAATGACTATAAATGGCTGAATTTAAGCATGAAAAAAATAATGAGCACAATTAGTTGAATCACAATAAACATATAAAATACAGGAGTTGAACAGTATTTAAAAATAGATAAAGCAAAAAATATTTTTTGATCACTAACGAGGGAACTAGGGCACCAACTCCTTACTCTGCAAATTGGCAAACAAATAGAAAAATTGAGCATTTGTCTTGCCCGCATTTTAGAGAAACAAATAACTACAGTTGATAAAGGAAACTTAGTCTTTACAGAATTCCAGCCAACAATTATGGGAAGAATAACAGAGTTAGAAAAGCACTTTTTGAACAATTAATTGGTTCAGTAAAGATCATGGAAGGAGGAAAGCCTGATGGGGGACTTTACAATGGAGCCATCAGGCTGTGGTCCGTCTGATCCATCTTAGCACAGAGCCCAGAGTGGTAGGACACGGTAGACCTCCCGCTGTGATGTCACCCTGAATTCTTTCGAGCCTTTCTGAATACCTCCAATTTTTCAGGAAATACAGGGAATGGGTACAAGTGCAAACAGATAAATCCAGACCATGGGACATTTTACAGGACAACTGACCTGGAATTGTCTACAAGTTAATGACACCAGGTGGCGGGGGACAGAGGGGTAGAGACTGCTCTAATTACAAAAGACCTGAAGGCCATATTATCTAAGTGTAATATGTAGATCTTATATGGAACAGCATTAGAACAAAACAGCTGTAAAAAGACATTTTTGAGAGAACTGGGAAATTTGAATATGGGCTGGATGTAGATGGCACCAAGAAATCACTGTTAATTTTGTTAGGTGTAAAAATGGCATTGTGACTAATGTAGATAATGTTGATTTTTTTGGAACTATGTATTGAAATATGAGGGGTGACATGAAAGTGTAGGATTTTAATCAACACTCTTCTGCCAAAAAAATAATGTTGCAAGAATTTCAAAACCTTGACAATTACTGAATCTGGGAGATCAATATAAGAAGGTTCTTTACAATCTTCCCTCTGTTTTTGTATATGTTTGAAATTTTTCATAATAAAAATTTTTAAAAAATAGATTTGAGATTTACTTTAAGAATCTGTGAAGTCTGCTGAAATAGAAGGAAAGTGGTAGAAGCTTTTAAAATTTTATGAACCTGAGTTACCTCTAAGGGGACTTGAATGCTTTCTTGGCATCTTCTGGGAAGTGGCTTTTGAAACTAATAACTCAACTTTGTCATTTCAATATGAGGAACATCATGTTAACACTCAACTATGCTTCATTTTACTTACTGCAAATTGTACAGTCCCAGTAGTCCCATTCCTCGAAAGTCTGTTTTAGGATCATCACCTTGGAAACCAATTTCACACCACTGCTTAGAAATCCGAGATTCCAGTGGAGTATCTGGCTTCAAGAATTTCCATAACTAGAGACAAAAAAGAGAATTACCTTATTGATATACACATACAAATACTATTTCCTGTTGGTTCAGATTTTGTAAACTACATTATTAGGAGGAGCTTTGCAAAGCTGAATATATGCAAATACATTACAATTAAAGATGTGATCATCTTTCAGTTATCTCTGACAGCATTTTTCAAACTATGGTCTGAAGACTGCTTGGAGGTACCCAAGACCTTTTCAGATGGTCTGAGAGGGGAAAAAAAGCCAAAAACCAAAAACCTATTTCATAATAAAGTAAGAGGTTATTTGCCTTTTCACTCTCATCTTCTCATGAGTGCAAGGTGGAATTTTCCGGAGGCTGTGTGACATGTCATGGTGTCACTGCTTTGAAAGCAATGGAAGGTATACTTAATATTTTAGTGTTTTAAATCTTTCTGTTTTAATTTTTAATTGGAAATTAGACAGATAGATAGATGGATAGAAAGATAATCTCCCACAAAGAAGCTCTTTGGTACTTTCAAAAATATTTGAGAGTATAGAAGGAAGGGGAGAACAAGAAAAATTTTGAGGCCACCCATTATTCAAATCCTCAAAAAATGCTTTTCTAATGTTTTATCAAAACTTCTAGCATCATTGTTAACAAAAAGAAAAGTGGACTGACTTGAGTTCCATTTCTTAGCTCTTGTCTGTGACAGGAGTGAGAGAAACATCATCATGTAGGTGGAGAAAGAAATGTCAATAATGTTCAGGAATGAACCTCAAAATATATTATCACCTTTAAGAGTTACCTAAAAGAATTTCAGTTAAAATCAATTATATATTAATGGACAAATGTAAACTTTATGCTCTTGATTGCTTAATAAACTAGTTCTATTCTTCTAAGTTTTCTGTAGAAAGATTCAGCACAGAGAGAGAGATTGAGACCCACAGGTGTATAAATATGTAAAGCTCAAACTTAGTTCTGACAGAGATGGGCATGAGAGCAAATTTACTTTTAGACTATTAATATTGGACATTATATCTTCTTTATAGACAGGGTATAAATACAAATATAAAATTTCCTTACTATTGTTAATATTGTTATATGTATTAGTATTTCAGAAATAATGCAATTTCTGAATTGTTTATTCTATATTACACAGATTTTAAAGCTTAAACATTCAAATATCTTGCTTTATATAGAATTGTCACGTATCTGACATAGTATAAAACATAATGTTCAACGACAGAAAATACTAACAAATAAAAAGCTATAACTCATTTCACTAATGTTATTTTAGACACTAATCTAAAATTACTTCTTATTCACAATATACAATATTTTATGTTAGTGCCACTATAGGTAAATTCAATTTACCTAAAGAGAGAGAGAGAGAAAATCTTCACAGGAAAGAAAGTAAATCTATCATGCTTGAAAGCAAATACCAAACATGGACCTACAAGATCTCTTTTTATGTAATCCATATAAGAATGTGCCAGGGCTCTGCATTGATCAAAACAGAAAATGCCTGCGTTCATTAGAAGAGACGAGGTTATGAGAGACCAAGTAATCACTATCAAGAAAAGGTCTCTTTTAAAAAATCCTCTAGGAACTGACTTGGTTATTGCCACAATGGAGGGAAAGAAAGGAAACAAAATGTAAAGCTTATCATGTTCATTTGAATAATAATTTGGAGTAATCTCAGGGCCCTGAACAATTAAAAATCGTCTGGTTTCATCAAGTGAATAGAGCAAAATGGCAAAAGCAGGCATTTCATTGTAGGTTCTGAACCTTAACCATTAGGTGAATGCTTACTTTGGGAGAGTAAAAAGTTCGAATAATAAAGTACTTTGAAAGAAATTTCATTTTAAAAATTTCACGGATCCTAACAGACTAGACTAAATGGCTAAAAAGTGTTCTCGATTAAGTTGTTAATCCTCTTTTGGAAGATGAAAGCCCATTACATTAAAATACTTTTATGAAGTACAATTATGTGTATATTTCCTGTAAAAAATAAAAAAACACCTTGAGCTATTTTGATTCTTTTCTGATAGGCTCTTCCTTGAAAAAATAAGGCAGGGTGTTCCTGAAGGGTGAGGTCATTTCTTGCAATAGGAAGCTAACTCTAAGTCTGAGCTAAGGTGTGGGCCTCTGATGGGGGCTCTGAGGAATCCAGTCACCTAAGACTGTGCTACTGGGAGAAGTTACTACAAAGCCACCTGCCAAGTGCAGGAGACCAGGGGCTAGGAAGAGTGATTCTTGTGGTGGCGGACAAGCTTCAGATGTGGAGGCTACACTCCGAGTCAGACTAGCATCCCTCATGGTCTGTTCTTTCTCCTGAACTTTCTTCTCTTAGAACTGAGCCTTTATGCATGTTTATTTGAATAACCTCCATCTCGTCTTAGGTCTGCTGCAGGACAGAAAGGGCAAAGCCATTCATCCACTCTCAAGCCAGAGAGGTCGAGGAAAAGCAGCTTCTTCCCAAGGAAACCAAAACACTATCTCTTCCCATAAGGAGAGGGCCTTTTAATTCTGACTTATGTTTTCTATTAAGTACATGAATACACTTAAAATTTTGCCTTCATTATTAATTTGGTCAAAATACTTTAATGGAAATGTCTGTTTGGAATAACTCACATGGACAGTGCAATATGAATATAGTAATATTATTCAATTTCATTCCAGCCTATTTCAAATAATCATAAGATCCAGATTTGTTTTATAATTTAGGACTCCAAGTAGTAACACTGATAATGCTCTCCTACACTTATAGAGCAAAGCACTTAAACAATGTGGCAATGCTGTACATTAACTGAGCTTATAAACCAGGGGTCAGCAAACTTTGTAAAGGACCAGCTAATAAATACTTAGGCCTTGCGAGCCATATGGTCTCTGTTGTAACTGCTTAACTTTGCTTTTGTAGTAGGATAGCAGTCATCGACTATACATAAATGAATGTGTGTGCCCGTGTTACAATCAAATATTACTTATAAAAAAGTGAGTGGCAGGTCAAATTTGGCTCACAGGCCTTAGCTTGCTGACTCCTGCTCTAAACAATTTTGTGAAATAGGTAACTTCATTTACAGAGTATTATTACCCATTTTAAAGAAAAAGTCTAAGCTCAAGCAGTTAAACATAAACCACGGGTCAGCCCTGGAAATATACATGGGAGCAAGACATAGTTTCTCTCTCAAGACATAGTGTAATGTAGTGGTTAAGAGTCCTTTCTGGCAGGGAACACTAGCTCATGCCTGTAATCCTAGCACTGTGGGAGGCTGAGGCAGGAGGATCACTTGAGGTCAGGAATTTGATAGCAGCCTGAGCAAGAGCAAGATTTCATCTCTACTAAAAATAGAAAAATTAGCTGGGTGTGGTGGTACATGCCTACAGTCCTAGCTACTCAGGTGGCTGAAGTAGGAGGATTGCTTGAGCCCAGGAGTTGGAGGCTGCAGTGAGCTATGATGATGCCACTGCACTCTAGCCTGGGCAACAAAGCAAGACCCTATCTCAAAAAAAGAAGAGGGGGGAAATAATACCAGTATATCATCACAAGGGTATGTATGGTGACAATTAAATGAAATAATGCTGTACAACACTTACTGTAATGATTGGCACATAATAAACAATGAGTGTTTTATTATTACTGATTTTATTATTATCATACGTGCAATTTGAATCAACTGAAGAGGTGAATAAAGACCCCACTCTTAAGTTTGCTTGAGGAGGCTAAAGGAGATTTCAAAATTCAGTGAGTAAGGATTTAAAAAATGAGCCGGCTTCTGCTGTGAGAATAATGGGTAACAGAGGGAACAGCATGAGCAGATTTCTGGGCATGTGGATGGCATGGCCTATTCTGGGTCACAGTGAATGGCAGAGTGTGACAGAACTGTGTTGTATGTAATGGGGATATAGGAGATGCAGCTTCAAGAAATACATTGGAAAGGCTCCAAAATGCCATGTTAAAGTGCATAGGCTTTCTACTGCAGTACGTAGGGAGCCTGAAGTTTTTTTTTTTGAAGTTTTCAATCTAGGGAATAACATGACTAGATCTGTGTTTTAGAAAAATCCCTCCAGCAGTATTTTAGAAGATGGAAGGGAAAAATCTGATGGTTAGTGGCAGAATTAAAGGGCTGTCACAGCCCAAGTTGGAGGTGTGGTTAGAATAAGGCAGTGGGCATGGAAAACTTTTGAGAGATACTCTTAGGACTTAGTGATTTTTGTAGATGCAGAATGTGTCCCAGTTAGATTGCAAGCCACTGGAGGGCAGAAAAGATGCCTTTTCTCAAAGTGCCTAACATAGTAGTGGACAGTCCTGGCTTTATAATTTACTAGATGTATGAATTAGAGCTTGAGCTAAAATATATGTAGTTTTCTTACCTCTAAAATAAAGATAATAATCATTACCCTGCCTACCTCATATAGCTGTGACAATCAAAATGATAAAACATACATAATCAAATCATAACCACAAATAAAAGTCATATCATAAAGTTCTTGACATGTAGCTAATGAACTACATTCATGCATTCCCCTACATTTGTTGAAAACCTGCTATGTGCCATCACACATACAATAGCCAGGCACCTGAATGTCATTGATTCTGATGGCACCTCTGCTATTCTAACGAATTGTTCAGGTTATTGTGATCAGTCTATTAATTATACCACTTCTTTTCTCTTTCTTTCTTTCTTTTTGTTTTTTTTAGAGATAAGGTCTCGCTCTGTTGCTCAGGCTGGAATACAGTGGTATGATCATAACTTACTGCAGCCTCCAACTCTTGAGCTCAAGTGATCTTCCTGGGCTCAAGTGATCCTCCTGCCTCAACCTCCCAAGTAGCTGAGACTATAGGCATGTGAAACCAAATTTTTGTAGAGATGGGGTCTCTCTGTGTTGTCCAAGCTGGTCTCAAACTCCTGGCTTCAAATGATCCTCCTGCTCTCACCTCCCAAGTAGCTGGGATTACAGGTGGGGGCCACTACACTAGGCCTCTTTTTTCTTTCACTCACTTCTTATTTCCCACCATTAGGTCATTTTTTGTTGAACTCACTACCTCCATCAGAAAATGGTCAGGAAAAAAAAAAAAGGCAATAAAAGGAGATGAAACTCAGGCAGTAGGTTAGCTAAAATTAAGCAGGGGAGAAAGGGAAGAAGAAAAACTATTGCCAAGAACGAGGCTTCTTTCATTTTTAATGATTCACATCAGATCCAGCACTAATTAGCAGAGACAAATGAGTCATCCGCTTAAATACTTACATACACAAAAACATATACTCCTTAACACAAAAACACAACAGGATACATTCTTAAAATTATGTCTTCTGTTGATATTTTTTTACTAAAATAAAATTAAGACAGCTAAACAAATTTTTTCTTCCAATTTTGTTACTGTCTTTTTGAATTCCAGGAAAGGGTAAGGAGGGACTCTAATTCTAAAAAGCATCCATTTTCAGAATTGAATTTATAAAACATTTCAGATAAATATGTAGTTCTAAAGGTTGGTCTTCATTTTGTTTTTTGGTCTTAGTTTCTTTGACTCATAATTTAGTGTTTTGAGGAAAAGTTATAGTGATGTTTCATAACACACCATCAGATCCTATAAGATTTTTAAGATTTTGCTTTCACAGCTAGAAGTATTTACAATTTCACATTATTTTTCCAACAGCTCTAATATGCCAAATATAAAGCTTTACCTCCTCTTCTAATACATTCCAAGTTACATGAATAAATAATCAGCATGAAGATCTTGGGTAATTTCCCAAGAGGGCTATTGGTGAAGCAGAAACCAACTTCATCTTCTTTGATGCGGATTAAAAGTCATAAATGAAAATCCCAGGTCACTCTTTGAAAATGCTATTTCTCCTATTGGCTCTCAACACATGTTAAACAATTTAAACTTGAGCCAAACGTGAGAGCCCACAGAGATCACCTCTGATGCTTTCTCGGATTCCAAAAGAAAACTGCCTTTAAACTTAACTTCTCACATGAATTTTCTGATGAAAAATTGACCTCGAACATCCCAATCAGCAAGAAAACTCGGCCTTACCAACATGTACGGTGTCTGTGTCTGATTCATCCTTGTCCCCCCAACGTCCAGATTAGTGCCTGGCACATGGCAGGTGCTTGGCGAATGTTAGCTGACTTAAGCGAAGGACTGAAGTATGCTCAAGGACTAACCTTCAGAAGCATTTCTTCGTGTTGGGGATTATCAGAATCGTAGGGCTCTCTGCGCAGTTTTTCCACATCGGCAATAAGGTTTCTGTACCCGACGATTTGCAGAAGGCAAGCCTGAAGAGAGATGCCCAGCCTAAGGTGTTTGAAATGAGAAGAAACACATGTGAGGAGAAACAAAACATGCACTTCTTACATTTGTTCACTTGATGTATGCATGATTGGACTTTCATATTAATATAATAGGAAATTGCTCAAATATGATCTATTTAATAAAGGCCCAATTCTTCTGAAGCCTTACACGGACAGGTAAGTGTACAACCTGGCTAAAATTTGTCTTGAATTCTGGCTTTTTCTTAAGCTAAGTTGCAACAGTGTGGCTTACAAAACAAGATAGCTCTTTATGCGGGTGACTTGAAAGTAAGATGTAGAAAATGAAGGTGATAATGGGTTCTTAGGGATCATTTAGTCCCCCGAGGTGGGTATATCAGAATCACTTTAGAAAGGTGTGTATGAGCGGGTGAGAGAAATAGTCCTCAGGGACTTTGAGGGAAGAAAATTTCCAAAATGAAATGAAATGAAATGAAACAAAATAACAACAACAAAAATACCTCTACTTGGGAGCACCGTTGACAGATGAGGCAGTGTCAAGAGAAACGTCACAACTTTACAAGATTTCCCACTACATTCTGACTACTCTAGTCGTCTGAACACTTTTTCTTATGCTGAAAGAAAATCTGCTTTTCTTATTACCAAGTGGTTCAAATTCTGTCCTCTAAGCAAATTTATTTCCACCTTCCCCCAGCCATGACCACTTATTTTAAGATAGTGATTCTTTCTTCCAGTCTCATCTTTAGGGTTAAAAAAAATTCCCTATTCCTTCAATTCTCTCTCATGGGACATACTTTACAATCTTGCTCAGTCTGCTCTGAATGTACATTATTTGATTAACAATCCCCTTAAAATATATCACTAGAACAGAAAACATTCTGGCAATCATAACACACAGAGGATCATTACTTTCTGTGATCGGAAACTGTTTTCCTTTCCTACAACCTGTAAGGTAAGATAGAATCTTTTTAAGAAGTTGCATAATATTACAAGTATATTAAACAAGTGACTAATCACAAGGTCCTTTTTTCATATAAACTATATATTATTAATAAATCTAAAGGTAGTACTTCATGTTTATTTATTCTGGCTAAATTATTTACAGACATATATTTTTCTATGGTTCAGAAATGATTCAACATTGGGAATTTCATATGATACTGTCCAATATATTCCTGTTCCTAGTTCACTTGCTGACTTTGAACATTTTCATTGTAGTGGTGGTGGTTATAATCACAACAGTGACATGATCTTCTTCTTTTTGAGGGGTAAATGAGATGTACAGAAGTTAAATTTAAAGTTGAGGACAACAGGTCTTAGGATTATATACCTACTCCAAACATAGAGGGCAGTGTCAGACAACCTAGGAACACTAATCTTTAATAAAATTGTGTGTTCAATTAAATAGCCTTTATATTACTTATTATTATATCACCAAAAACTAAGTTAGATATTTAAATTTGGAAAAGGGCACAGTGGCACTGGTCACCCAGGAAATCAATGCGGGACTGAGAAGAGAGTTAATTTCCAGGGAAAGGAGAAAATGGAAGAAATAAAAGAGGCAGGAACAAGGAAAGTCAATTAAATTTTTTTCCATAGTAATTTTTAGTATCCCCATTAGCCTCACTTTAAAAAATGTAATTAAAATAAAATGAGGTTAATAGTGGTAACAGTTTAGTAAGTTATAAAATGTTCCCTCATCCCTAACTTCCTATTTCCATGTTTTGTTAGAAAAGTATTTAACTTTTTTTTATATCAGATTTTGTCAATGTCAGTCTGGGAAAAAAAGGCACTAGATGGAAAGGCACTACTGAGATGGAAAACCAAACAAAATGAAACGAAAAACACTACAGATTGAGTATCCTGTATCTAAAATTCTTGGGACCAGAAGCGTTTTGGACTTTGGAATATTTGCCTATATGTAATGAGATATCCTGGGGATGGGACCCAAGTCTAAATACAAAATTCATTTAAGTTTCATATATTCTTTACACGCATAGCTTGAAGGTAATTTTATACAATGTTTTTAATAATAGATGCAACCCGGCCGGGCGCAGTGGCTCACGCCTGTAATCCTAGCACTCTGGGAGGCTGAGGCAGGTGGATCGCTCAAGGTCAGGAGTTCGAGACCAGCCTGAGC